TTGCTTGCTGGGAACTCTGTTATAACAAAATCTCCAGGTTCCCAGTCATCTTTGTTATTTTCTGAAACTGTTTCCTCCGTATCTGCCCCTGACACTTGTTCCTCCTCTTCCGAACTTTCTTTTTCATTTTCTGAGAGATGTTCTCCCTCATCACTAGAAAGTTGTTCCCAATGGTCTGGATGGGGTTCATTATTTTCATCCAATTTTTCATTTTCTTCATGTTCTATTAATGTCGGTAAAAGGTCTGCTACAGATACACTTTTTCCAGAAGGCACATTCATCTTCTTACCTCGTTTTGGAGCCGTTTCACCCCCCCTTCTCATTTCCCTTAAATGTTCAACAATTGTATTTGTCCAAGCCATATTCACATCTTGACGTTCTTCTTCTTCTTCTTCTTGTGGTGTGCGAAGATGTGCTATTTTTTTCAAAACTGCTTCGGGATTAAATGGTGAAATGCCGCAGGACTTGAAGCCCGCTTCTGTATTTGTTTTTGACTTAGCACCAACCTTATCCAAGGTCTCGTTTAACAGCTTCGGAAACAAGGTCTTTGGTAAGACGCCCCTATTTTTTAGTTTCCACTTTTCTAACACATTTCGCCATGCTGCCTTTAAAGGCCGGAAGTAAGCTACATCTAATGGCTGAAGCAAATGGGTGGAATTTGGTGGAAGCAATACAAATTTTATGTCATTTTTTTCGCAATGTTCAATTACTCTTATTGTCAGATGACTACATAAATTATCACCAATCATTACTTTAGTTCCATCAAGTGATCTGAAATAAGGCAAAGCTGTGTTTAAAAACCAATCTTCAAATGTGGTTGCATCAAACCAACCATTTATTGTTCTATTGTATCTGGAACCTGGAAATCCCCCTTCTACCCATCCTGGATATAAATGCCTCGCTTTATAAACTGTATATGGAGGTAAGAGGGTTCCATCGCCTGCTACAGCAAACATTACGCTTGTACTGCTTTTTGATGAATCTATGCGAATGTTTCGAACCCCTCCTAACCACCACTTTTACCGCACCAGGGTCGTCTGTGAAATTGGTCTCATCGTAATTTATAACATTACACGCCGGGACATCATTGATGGATACTTTGAGATGATTAAAATAATCTTCTACAATTTCATACGTCACTGCTGCTCTCACACGTTTTGTGTTCTCGGCTAGTTTTATAGTTAAATTGGGGTGCCTTGTCATGAACAATTTAAACCAATCAATTCCTGGTAAATTGTCTTTAAAACGTTTCTCACGTTTACCACATCTATTCAGGAACTGTTGAACCATAAATCTGATATCAAAACTTTTTAGGGGGAATCCCCATTCAGCACATACCAGAAGCACATCCACCAATTTATTTTCTTCTTCTGAGGTTAGTGCTGGTTGCCCACCTAACGACGAGGAGTGCTTTCCGTTTACTCTGTGATTAAGGGTAGTATAGGGAACAGCATACGTTTCCGAAGCTCTCCTTATGCTCATACGACCCGCTTTAACTGCTTGTAAAGCTCTTTCTAGAAACACGGGATCATAATTTCTTCTTCGTCGCAACCCTAATACTTTCTTGTAATATCTTGGCATTTTTTACTATAAAAAAAAACATCGTCAGTGGGTCCGAACATGTGCATGAGCGTGATCATTGATAAAACAGTTACTAAAATTATATTAATATAATTAAAATAGATGATTCAAATCACCCCCATATATTGAGATTAAAAAAAAAAATCACAACTGCCAACTAAATGAATAAAATGAAAATATAGTATCACCCATGCCTTCAAGAAACATAAATAAACATAATAAAAAATCTCAAAATACTTCAACTATTATCAAATTTTAAATATAATAGTTTGTTTTCAAATATTGTTAAATTACTCATTTTCACTACTTACCTACAACAATTTTTATTGACACTGCAAACCAACTACTAACGTCTCTGTTCGCATCTAGAGAAGTACTGACCTCGCGCCGTCAAGATCTGTTCATTTTGCTACCGTTCGGTTCGCGTTTAACGAATTTCAGCCGAAGATTTAAAAAAAGGCGCGAATGATCAATTTCACCCACCGTGATCCATTTCACCCCGTTTGACGGTACTCTCCATTCTGTTGAATACACTTATCCCATCGCTTTATCCACTTATCATAAACTTCTGAGAAACCATTTTTTGATACTCTGTTTAGTATACCCATCACAGCGTTGTTGAGCTCTAAATCCGACTCAAATCTTCTACCTCTCAATTCTTTTTTGACTTCAGGAAACAAATGGAAGTCACATGGAGCAAGGTCAGGAGAGTAGGGGGGATGAACCATAATTTCAATCCCTAATTCTTCAATTGTTCGTTGACAAATCATTGATCTATGAGCCGGAGCATTGTCGTGATGCAGCGTCCCGCCAAAGTCCTGATAAAGCGGCCTTTTTTTCTTTAATTTTGCCTTTAAGGGTCCTCGAAGTACATTAGAATAGTACTCCCCTGTTACTGTATGTCCTCTAGGTACAATGTGATCGTGAATAAAGCCTAAATTATCAAAAAAAATCAGGTGCACCACTTTACCAGCGCTTTTAGCAGTTTTGGCCTTCTGCGGTCTTGGGCTGCCTTTATGCTTCCATTGCATACTTTGAGACTTCAATTCAGGATCGTAATGATAAAACCAACTTTCGTCACATGTAACCACATTATTTAAAAACTGGGGGTTACGTTGCAATTGCCTTTTCCACTGCTGACAAATTGTCACTCGATTCGCTTTTTGTTCATTGGTCATCACTTTTGGAATCCATCTTGCCGCGATCTTCCGGTACTCTAAATCTTCATGAATAATTTTTTGAGTGGTACCATAAGACAAATTAACATTGTCAGAAATTCGTTTTATGCCAATCCGGCGATCATTTTGTATCAAGTCGTTAATTTCTGCAATTTTTGTGTCATTTCTCGCAGTTTGTGGTTGACCGGGACGAGGTTCATCTTCAACTGATTCACAACCGTCTTTAAACTTTTTATGCCACTCAAACACTCTACATCGTGATAAACTATTATCTAGATATGCACCTTTAATCATTTCAAAAGTTTCAGTTGGTGTTTTACCCAATCGAACACAAAATTTTATCGCGTATCTTTGCTCCACTTTCATTTTTCGATGGGTACGCAAAACACTAACAATTTAATAATTAATTTGTAACAAATGTCAAAAGTTAAATCAAAGCCTACTTGCGGGGTAGTACATTAAATATAAGGCTTTCATGTCTCATTTTTTGGGTTATAAAATGTTACCTCTGAAAGAAGTTATAGCACCAGTCTCGTTATATACTGATATATCCTCGTATTTAAGGAAAGTTAGACCTAATTTCTTCTGCAACTCTGTTAAGGCCATGAGCCAAACATGTAACATGGATTAAGTTTTCATAAAACATTTTTAAATTTTGTGCGGCTTTTATCATGTACGGGGCAGCATCGGATAACAGCAGTAAACATTTTTCTGTTGGAACGGCTTCCGGAAAAAAAAGTAAGACAATTCTGTCTGGATAAAACGAGTTATTTGTTTTATCTAATTGCTTTCCTATCCAATTTGTATTTCTTCGCGTAATGAACCTATCATTAAATGGGCTGGCTATATATCGACCACAAGAGTCTGTTGTTTTATCCACAATAATGTAGAAATGGTTTCCAACGGTAATCTCACTAATTTTTTCACGAGTCTCAATGTACAAACTGTCAACACCACGTTTGCGTAATATACTTTGCTCTGGAATATTAAATTTACAGTATTTTTGCAAAAATGGTCGGAGATTTGGATTATTTAATCGTATTAAAGGGATATTCGAAGTCACTAAAGCTTTGCATAAATCTTCATTAAAAACAGCTTGTTCACTTCTAGACGATCCAGATTCTAAATATTGTTTCAAGGGAAGTTGACTTTGTCTGCGAGTGTCTTTAGATTTCTGCTTTGCTATATGTGAGGGTGTTTTCGCGTGTTGGTCGATTTGAAACTTTTTGAAATAATATTTTACGGTCGTTTGATTTGCCATTGTGAAAGGTCAAAATAAAATATAGAATAAAAAAGTACTTACAATTTTAGAACATGTTTTACAAAACACCTGGTTATCACCTTCTACAACAAAATCTGAATAAGATTTTACCCACGACTCAATTAATTTTGCCATTTTCCCCACTGGTTAACACAACACCACACAACAATAAAGACAGAAATGAAGTTGAAAGTAAACTGAGTCATTTAGAAATTTGAAGATATTAATACAACTACCTGAAAGGATATTTAGCAAAATTTGTTGGTTTAAGGAGGATATTTATAATTTAATCCTCTCAAGTACCTACACCATTAACCGTAATTTATTACAGGGAAAAGTTAATCCTTCAAAATTTTAGGAAATCCACCTGTAAAAGCATTTCACAAAATATTATTTTGGTCCAAAACTCCTAATTTTAATATGTCCAGCCAATTAGTACGTCAGATATATGCCAAAAAATTTACAAAATGTCAATATATGCATACAAAATCAAAAATTGTATATATATGCAACATATGCAAAATATGGCGTTTTGCATATATTCTTGTCTCTACTAATAACTTTGTACAATCATTTTATCAATGGTTTAAATCTTGGCTGCTGATCATGCATTTAAAAAAAAAACAGACGGTTTGTTTCCAAAAATTAAAAACACTCCGTTTGGTGGACTGATGATTGTAATCGATATATAAATTACCGAAAAATTGCCCTTTAATTTAACCCAACCATAGAAAAATATATCATTTTATTAAAATATAAGGCAGTTGCATCAATTTTTTTAATAATTAGAACAATGAAAATCCAATTGATGATAAGACAAATCAATTTAATGAATTAAATTAGGACCGTGTCTAATTTTCTAGAAATATTGAGTAGCTAAGTCAGTTTAATGCGAAGGATGATTCAATTGGATCACCTCGCTTAAATTGGTACTTAGATCTCAGCACCTTCAAAAATATTAATTATACTCTTTTTTTCAGCCTAAATATATTCAGAGGTTGAAAGCTATAAACGCTACATTAGAAACTTCAGAGTTCTTCAACTCGCACGAGGTAAGATTCATATTATTCGTACCTAGTTAGTTTTGTAATGAATTTGTACGGACTCCTATGTACGTGAATAGCCTTGTTTCAACAACGAGCATAAAAAGTGTAAATTGGCAATACAAAATAGTTGTTTTTTTTTGTTTGTCCAAAAAATAAAGACTTCGGCTGTATCTCTGACAGAGTTAGCAGGCGTTTTCGAAATAAAAAAGGTAATTGACTGAAAGCATTTATATCCCTGTTTTAAAATTAGTTGCTAGCAAATTATGGTAAAATAATGAATTTTTTCTACGACCACTTTTCCGTTTCAATTACCATTCGCAAAGTTGACAATTTTATAACAAAATGGTGACATAATCGTGCACAAAGTAACTATATTGAGCACGTTTATATCAAAAAAAAATTAGAATCGATAGATCGTTCATTCATTCAAAATAACTCCCGATCCTATCCAAATCACTGAATAAGCACCCGGAAGTGATACACCTTTGAGCCTCTACTTTTTTGAAAGGAGTGCCTACACAAAGTACCCAGCTAGCACAAAAACATCCCATCTACGTTAATAAGCTGCAATTTTAGGCTCACATGCGATGTACTTTTAATGTAACCCTAATATCCCTGCAACCACCGAATGTCCGCAACGGCAAGACTTTTATAGCACATCTCACAGAAGTTATAAAAGTGAAGTTCGGAAAACGTCACACTAGCACTTTTATGGTACTTACCCTGAAAGTTGCTCTGAAACTTTCTATAGATGTTATAATGTGAATTAGTTCTACAACATTATACAATGTGTCCACGGATGGACTTAACTATACTTGTGAAAATATTTATTTTAAATTAAAAAAGTAATTCTTTATAATTTCTTTTACTTGTTAAATAAATTCGATTCACATTAAGAAATTATGAAAAATAACTTTTTTTAATTTAAAATAAATATTTTACAAGTATAATTAAGTCCATCCATGAACACACTATATTGTTCTTTGTGTAATGTAGGGGGAAGTGGGGCAGATTAATACAGAAAAATTCAATCCAATATTTTTCGAAGCAAAATGAGTAAAATATTAATATCTTTTTGTTGTTTGCTAAGCATAACTAATCAGTATTATATAAGCATCAAAGAAATGATTGAAGTTAAAAGAGGGTGATATTATAATGAAATTAGCGAAAAATTGGTTTTGTATCATTCTGCCCCATCTACGGGGCACTTAGATACATTGAATGGGGCACTTTGATACATGGCGTAAACTGCATAAGAGCTGTTAATAATTTTTAAAAATAATGGCCAAAACATGTTTTTTATTTTCAGAAATAACAATTAACCTTAAAAACTTAAAAAAAAACAGTTAACCTTTATTGAACATTATATCCACTTAAGTCAATAGGAAAAGTATACAGAGATGATGTTCGAGATGTGCTCTATGAGAAGTTTGGTTTTGGCAATTGCAGAACAACATCCTCGAAATCAACGTCTGCCTTATCTTCTATATTGGGGAACACAAACGTACAAGATCCTGGTTTTTTCCTGAGGTATTACACTTGATAATGGGTCATATTATATATCGAAATCACTTTGGCCACGTAGTAAAGAACAGTTTTTTTCTTTTCAAATTTATTGAGTAGGAAATCTGCAACATTTATATTTTTAGTATTGGGAACATCAAAACATATATTCGAATCTTCTGGATCAGATACAAAATCCATGTCATCATCATCACTTAATGTCACAGATTCATTGCGACTGGTATCAGAATCAGATTGTGAATGACGTCGTCTTTTATTCTTAAGTTGTTGAGTTTCCGTGAAACCCAATAAATTTCTTGCCGTTTTCAACTCTTTTGCTTTCTGTTTCATCATTTTAACTTGTCGTTTCCTTATTTTTTCTTCGTACAACGCCTGTAATCTATCCTTCTCTGGTGTATCAGTGAAGACTCTCAATTTTCCCTTCTCTCTTTCTTTCTTCAATGAGGACGACCCAAGGATTTTTTAGGATATGGTCTACTTCAGGGGACAATATTAAAATAGAATGTAAAGGATGTACATTAGGAGATGTTACATCCTCTTTCAATCGGGTCTCATAGGGGCCGGCTTTATCAACAACTGGTATCTCACTTGATTCACAGTTATCGTTAACCACATCGTTTCTGGTAATATCTTTATCCACAGAACCTTTCAGTTGTGCATTTTCTTCGTTTGTCACATGTACAACGTCAGCAATCTCTTGAGAACTGGAATCAAATATTTGTATTGGTGCAAAATCATCATCGCCAAATGCAAGTCTATTAAATGGCCAAATGCCGGGTCTTGAAAACCCACTTGTGATATTCTTAGGAGTAAAAGATTCCAAAAACGCTGATTTTGTTAGTGTAATATTTGTTTGTTTCGATAAACAACTAACGAGGTGTTTGTGGATGAACTCAAAAGCCTTTATCTCTGTTGTCACGTTTATTCTCAAAACAACTTGCATCCATTACTTGGTTCTGTCCATTGTCTTATCATGGACCATCATGTTAAGCTAGATGATACATTCATGATCATATAGATGAATGATTCATAGATGTATATTTTATAGATACTACATTCTTGCCTTACTTTAAACAAAAAAAATACATTTAACTTTTTTTTTTTTAATTATTATCGTAATCGTTGAGATACTCCGGTTTTCTTAGGTGACTTCTGGGTCTCAAACTTCTTTGGTTGAATAACGATTCATTCTCCTCTTGAGAGTCTGACAGACTTGTCATGGAGTCTAAATATTCTTCTGATGCAAGTTGTATCTTCACTAGTTTTGTTTTCTTCTATAATTTCGATTGGGTTATTTAAATCTTCAAATAAATTTAATATCTGCAATAGCGGATTATTTATTTCTTCCTCTCTCTCTTCAGATGAATTTTCTTCGCTGGGTGATGTTTCGTGAAATATTTCAATGCTTTCTGGTGTGGGGGTAAGATGTGTGGTAAGTAAGTAGTGGTATTGAACATCCAGCGTGTAAATCTTGGTGCTGCTTGGCTAAATAAGGGTGGATCTTCGTGTTTAGGTATCGTTTGTGTAATTGGTTTTCTCAAATTTAAGTTCTTAAAGAATGAAGAATTTCTTGTTTTAACTTCTTCCCCTCTTTTGACTTGTACAGTAGAGCCCATAATTTTACTTACTCTGTATGGCTTCGGGTCAAAATAAGGTATTAAATTATTCTTTTGATCTTGTTTGCATAGTACTAGATCTCCTTCTTTGAAGTTGTGAGTTTTTGTTCTTCTTTTGTTATCAGCATAGATCTTTTGCTTTTGATTGTTTTTCTGATCTGTATTTATTAGCATTTTGTCTTGTTCATATTCGTCTATTGTTGGCAAGTAATTATTCATTTTACTTCCAAATATGACTTCATATGGAGATTTTTCTGTAGTTGAATGTGGTGTGCTTCTGTAGTTAACTAGAAATTGTTGAATTTTTGACGTGAAATGTCCATTTTCTAAGTGGGTACAAAGGAGTGCCTTTTTTACAGTTTTGACAAACCTTTCTGCCATCCTATTAGCTTCATGCCAGTATGGTGTTATTCTTACATGTTTGATACCAAAACTATTTAAGAAATCTGCTAATTCAAGGTGTTGAATGGTGGTCCATTGTCTGACTTGAATGATTTTGGAAAACCCCATGTTGAGAAAATGTTTTCGAGAACTGGTTTCACATGCATAAAAGATGTTGAGTTAGTTACCTCAATTATGGGATATCTGGAGTATTCGTCTACTATTATAAAAATATATTTCTTGTTTTGAAAAGGTCCCGCATAATCAACATCAATGCATTGAAAAGGATAATCCGGTAGTTGACTTTGAATGATAGGATTTCGTTGAGTAGACTTTGTGACTGCCTGACACGGTATGCACGATTTAATGAATGTTTCAGTGATAATATCCAGATTTGGAAACCATACTTTAGTCCTTAGGAGTTGTTTTGTTTTTGTGATTCCTAAGTGACCTTTATGTGCAAGTTCAACTGCTGTTCGTTGTAACGATGTTGGAAGAACTATACGATTACCTCTTAGTATGACATTATTGCTAAATATTAGTTCTTCTTTGAGTTTGGAGTATGGGCTTAGTTCAGGCATTTGCCAGTTGGATTGTTTCTTTGTTGAAATTGCTGTTTTCAGTAGCATCAGTGTCTGTGTTTCTTCTTGCACCTGTTTGAGAGTCATTGCTTTTGGTATAGAGTTATTGTTCTACTTTATCATTGTTATCATCTGTTTGTTGATTTCTATCTTCAACTGGATGTCGAGATAGGTAATCAGACGGGTTGGAGACACCTTGTTGATGTTGTATCTGGAAGTTGTATGGTTGAATCCTTAATAATAATCTTTCAACTCTTGCATTTGGTGCTGATCTAGAGTTTTCTATTATCTTAACTAGAGGTAAATTGTCACAGTGGAGAACAAAGTTGGAACCAAAAATATAGTTGTGAAAATGTTGTATAGCCCAAGGCTAATGTCTCTTTTTCGAATTGACTGTATCTTTTCTGAACTGGTGATAATGTGGTACTTGCATAAGCTACAATCTGTATATTTTTGTTTTTATCTTCTTGTGCTAAAATTGCTCCTAGACCGTTAGAACCTGCATCTGTGTATAAATGGGGGGTTTTATTGATGTCAATGTAGGCTAAATTAGTGGCATCACTAAGTAGTTTCTTGAGTTCATTGAAGGTGTGTTCATGTTCAGTTGTCCAAATCCAGGTAGTACTTTTCTTTGTCAATTCTCTTAGATTACTCGACTTTTCTGCCAGGTTGGGTAAAAATTTTCCTATATAATTGATCATCCCTAAGAAACTTCTTAGTTCTGTTGTGTTTTCAGGACTTTTTAGGGTAACAATACTGTTTAATTTAATTGGATCTGGATAAATGCCATCTTGCGAGAAAATATATCCAAAAAAGTTTATTTTTGGAACACTAAAAACACATTTTGTTTTGTTTAAGTTAAATTGATTATGTTTAATGTTCTCAGTACTTTTTCCAAAACTAC